GACATCACAGCACTCCCATGCCATATTAGACACCGTCCTACCAATTGCTGCTACACCACAATTCTCTATTCCAGATAGCCCAAAGACACCACCTCAAAGCTCCACACATGAGCCCAATTTAAGCCTAAATTCATCCAGCCCAAGTCCAAGTGCCTCTCCACAAGCCCACATGTCTCCACCAGCCACTAGTTCACCTTGTAGGTCCTTTGATATATCACCACACCCACAGAGTCCAACTACATCACCCGAAGCAGCATCCAATCATGAACCAATTTCGCCTCCTTCAGTTTTCCCAAATACTTCCTCCACAATTTCGACTAGTCCTGATTATTCACCTATGCATACTAAATTCGGCAGCCTCCAGCAATTAATCTATGAAACTTCTCCCCATCCATTGCCGCACAGTCTTACTGCAAGTCTTCAGGATCCCTTGTCTTTTGAACCTGCCACCTACAAACAAGCTTCTCAATATTCTCATTGGCACACAGCCATGAAGGATGAATATGATGCCTTAATCCGCAACGATACTTGGTCTTTGGTCCCAGTCACACAAGGCATGAATATCATAGGGTGCAAGTGGGTGTACAAAGTGAAGCGAAAGGCGGATGGCACGATTGAGCGTCACAAGGCACGTCTTGTTGCTCAAGGGTACAACCAGAAAGAAGGTCTTGATTATGCCGAGACGTTTAGTCCGGTTGTAAAGCCAGCTACAATTCGTACAATTTTGGCGTTAGCTATTTCACACAATTGGCCCTTACAACAGCTTGATGTACGCAATGCATTCTTGAATGGTCTTTTGCACGAAGAGGTGTACATGAAACAACCACCAGGTTATATTGATTCCCTTCGACCTCAATATGTCTGTCGGCTTCATAAAGCACTTTATGGTCTTAAACAGGCCCCAAGAGCGTGGTTTCAGCGATTGCATTCCTTTTTGCGTACACAAGGATTTTCCCACAGCCAATCTGATGCCTCTTTGTTTATTCGTCACTCCTCTCATCACACTATCTATGTTCTTGTTTACGTTGATGATTTGATTGTCACAGGTACTGATGTTACATCCATCTCTACCTTTATTGATCACTTATGCTCTGTCTTTGATAGTCGAAAGCTAGGTGATCTGAGTTTCTTTCTTGGAATGGAGGTTCGACGCACAACCACCACTTTGTCTCTCTCCCAAAGTCGCTATGCATCTGACTTGTTGAAAAAGTTTAACATGGTTCTGTGCAAATCTTGTCCTACCCCGGTGCTCTCCTCAACTCGACTTTCTGCTATGGATGGTGATCTCATTTCTGACCCTTCTACGTACCGTAGCATGGTGGGTGGTCTCCAGTACCTAACATTGACTCGTCCCGACATTGCATATGCAGTGAATCAAGTGTGTCAGTATATGCATAATCCCCGCTCCACTCATTTACAAGCTGTTAAAAGAATCTATCGCTATATTAAAGGTACCATTGAACTTGGTATTCTTTTCCGTTCCTCCACTGATTTTTCCTTGCAAGGTTTTTCGGATGCCGATTGGGCTGGGTCCTTGGATGATAGACGTTCCACTACCAGTGCTTGTATTTTCCTTGGTTCTAATTTGCTCACTTAGACTGCTAAAAAGCAATCAACAGTGTCAAGGTCCAGCTCTAAAGCAGAGTATCGCGCCCTTGCCACAACGGTTGCCGAGCTTCGTTGGTTTTGCTATCTGTTCAGAGAGCTTGGTATTCCTCTCCGTTCTCCCCCTTGTATTTTTGTTGATAATGTTTCAGCTCTTCATATGGCAGCCAATCCGGTCTTTCATGCACGCACCCGTCACATTGAAGTTGATTATCATTTTGTTCGTGAGTTATTAGCACAGGGAGTTCTTCGTACCCGATATATTTCCTCTCACTATCAGCTTGCAGACGTTTTTACCAAAGGTCTCTCTCGCGATCGTTTTGCTATGCTCACTTCCAAGCTCAATCTCCACTTTGTTCCGTTTCGCTTGAGGGGGGATGAAGAGAATAGCACTAATGATGCATCTAATCATGCTAATATTACAGCCAATCACCACGACATCAGAGCCTTGAATTCCTCATCCTCATATCACTCTACTGATCATACGTGATTTCAGGAATTATATCAATCTCTTGTAATCTTTGTTATCTTGTTTCCTTCTAGGACTAATATTACCATATATGTTGTATCAATAGTCAAACTGTAATTGTATAAAGCAAGCATGAATAGAAATCAATGGTCATCGAGCTATTCCCCAAATATCTGCTCTGTTCTAATTCTTCTTCACTGTTCTTATTTTTCTATAGTTTCAATTTCCTTAGTTGATTAGCAAATGCGTGAAAAAGAGAAAAAAATACAATTGCCATCTATTTCCTTCCTGGCAACTACTCCTCCTAGAAAAAGACAGCTTATATAATTAAAGCTTTTGGTGTCCAAATGATTAAGGCTAATTGTTCGACCAAAACACTGTTGTGTCACTAACAAGCTAGCTAGCTACACAGCACAGGATTATAAGTCAATCCTCTCTCACCCAAACCCAATGTCAACCGCATTACCTAGCTACCTCATTTCTTCTGCCACTAGCTCCAAGTTCGTGGTATGCCGTCTATCCCGTTGGGCCTAAGGCAATGGCTTTAAACAGTAATTCTTTGTGAAAACAGGGCTGCATGCATGGGAATGGGATGGGCTGGGCAGCTCGGTGGCATTAATTAAATTTCTGCTGGTGTTCACATTAATTCATGTGCTTAAGTACAGAGTTAACTACGTGTACAAGGAGAAGGAATTAAACTGATACATTGACAAAAGCATATACGAAATGAAGCTAGTGCCAAGCTGTAGTCCATGAAGTCACGTAGTTGATTTGAGTCCTTGATATGTATATATACATATATAGATGGTCCCCCGGCCGGGAAGAAACCGAAGAACATGTCATGATTAATACATATGCGGTCCACCCGCCAACAACTCATAATCTGTGCCCTCTTTCATTAGGTATATAGCTTTTCTTAAACATATGAGTTTTGATCGAAACAGACAGCACGCAGGTTGAGAGAGTGACGCGTAGGAAGGAGCTCGAGTTTTTGCATTTAGATTTCGTGTATTTATCCACATTTAATTTAATCTCATCATCACAGTAATCTAATAGTTCAATAAACTCATCTATGATCTTCTAGTGCTGATCAAACATCAGTCAATTTAAAAGATGAGTGGGGAATATCTCATCTCATCGTCCCCCACAGCGATGATTTCATTCATATAGGATACAGCTAGCTAGTACTGCTGATAAAACATCAGTCAATTCAAAAGATGTGTGGGGAATATCTCATCTCATCATCCCCCACAGTGATGATCGAACCGTAAACTTGATGATCTCATGATGATGAAGATGTAATTTTTTATTTCTTCCTTTAGTGTGCCTACTTTGACTCATATTTGAATTGAATGAAAAAGCTTAATTCTGTTAAAGAGTATCACCGATGCCTTTTGTGATAAAACCTCATATTTATTGGGCTTTTTAGTGTACCCACTCCCTTATGTTCACACATTGAAATTGGATAGATCATTAAAAATTATTGTCATTATGAGTCTATGACATGTGCTTCTAGAGAACTCTTAAAAAACAAAAGTCTAGGTCTTGGCTGTGTCTGGTATTGAATTAAAAAGTTAATTTCTAATAAATATTGTATCATCCTTGTAGAGTATATGTGAATATATTGCATGATCAATCACTTTCTCTAATCTAGTCTTGACCCATAGAATAAATAAAATTACAAATCAAGTCACTTTATTGCAAAGGAGGTGAGGATAATAAGGATGGGTTTAAACATCTCCTTTTTTTGTTGTTGCCAAAGTTAAGAAGAAAGAGGGGGGGAAAGCTCACACACTTTACCAATCCAACTAACACCCTTTTGATAGGTATAAATGTCTCCTTATCATCGCTTTCAACGAGTAATCATTCTAAATTTCTCAAAAAATACATGATGTGCCATATTTAAGCAGTATATGCATATTCTTGATTGTTGCACCTTATTATATAATCATTTTGTATATTATGTTTGCAATTTATTCAATTGCCATCTTTATATTCTTTTATATTCATTCTCAATTGTAACCGATTTATGCCTCACTTTTTAAAATGTTTTGTTTCCTATAAAGTTTCATTTCTTTTGATACAAGAAATATTATATTTTAATTTAATTCAAAACTCGAATGTAGAATGAGGAGCACATCACTCTAACT